AATTTCAATATTATAATTATAAAAAAATATTGGCAGGGAGTATTTTATAAAAGAATTCATTATCCTACATAAAATATCCTTTGGGATACTTTAAATCATAATATATATAGTAGTGTAATTTTTAAATAACACAAAATAGCTTAATTTAAAAAAAAAAACTAATTTTAATCTGAACTTAAAAGTGACAGCTTGGAAGACTGGAACTTGGACCTTATGTTTTTAAAATTATAAATGGGGTTACAGTTAAACATCATATACTAGTTCCTGAGAGGGAAGCAGGCGGTCTTTTGAAAAAGGTAATGATTGCTTTATTATAGACTAAACCAATAACAAATTAATTTAAAAGATTATGTCTTCAATACAAGCAGTAACTGGATTTCATGCAACAATTAAAGTAAGAGCATAATACAATTTTAGCTGTTTAACATAATACAATTTTAGCTGTTTAATAAAATAAAGCAATTTGTAATACAAACTTAACTCTTAAACAACGATTGAAAAGGCTTTTCTGTAAAACAATCAGAAAAGTTGCATGTAATCTTAAGTTCAAGTGCACACATAATTAAAGAGCATTAGTTCATACAACATCAAGCTGCCTGTAGATTATATACCAGTACGCAAGTTTGAAAAAATCTTTGTTCTAAGGCCATGTTCATTTTAAACACTATTAGTAGAGGTTTTATTTGGGAAAATTAAGTCTATCTGGTAAAAAAAAAATTATATATTACTCAAAACATTCGAAAATATATATAAAAGTGAAAATCTGTTTGTTTGGTGATTTGTCTGTTTGTTCCACAAAGGCTTTTACATGGATTGATGGATCTTGACCAAATATGGCACATATATCCATCATTATCCAGAATCAAATACTGGAGGGTTATGAACTTTTTATAACATTCCGTTTGGGGCGCCCCGAATTCGTTTTTTTTTTCTTATATGAGCTATATAAGATCAAGCTAACAACAAATACTTCCAGATGAATAGATGGATTTTGATCAAACTTAGTACACATACACTTAATTATCCATCTTCATAATATCCATTCCTCTGGGGCCGGAGGCCTACTTCATTGTTCCTTTATACAAGCTATATAAATACCAATAAACTTAGACAACACTAGAGTTTCTATATGAATTGATGGATCTAGGCCTAGATTTGTAGCAATACTCTATATCAGGCCTGCCCAACTCAAAATGTAAGGCGGGCCGTAATACTTAATGAAAAAGTGTGGGCTAAAAGAAAATAGGACAAGACTTGTGCGGGGCAAAAGAAAATAGGACAGGGGGGAAAGCTATTAAGAAAATAATAAGAATCAAGAATATTTCGTTACTTCGCGGGCCGCAAAGTGGGTGCTGGCAGGTCGTAAATGTGCAGACCTGCACTATATAGTCAATACTGAAATATAGGTGGATTTAAAACTAAGAATATCCAATCTAGAATTTTCCAGAAAGTTCGATAATTTTAAAAAGCCATATCTATGATATTTTTAAACTGATTTTAATGGGACAACTTTTAAATGTTAAATTTATTATTTATCTGACTTATATTTATAGGGCCCCCTATCTCAGGCAAACCAAATCGTTACAGTTATGGAATGGGCCCCCGTTGGGGCCCATCTTTCAACATTAAATTACTATAGTTACAGAGGTGCATTTAGTTGTACAAATTTTCGTATTAAAAAGAAATTTTTTACACGTTTGAGTAGGATATTAAATTTAATCTAGAATGTTCCAGAAACTTCTATATTGTTCTACGGGGATATATAATGGTATCTCAGAGCTTATTAAAATGTCAGTTTAGTTCTATAATTTATATACTTTCCTGGGGATTTTCTCTAAAGGTGCCCTTCTTATCGGGAACAAAATCTCAATGAGGAACAGGATCCTAAAGGGGAACGAGTAAACTGGAACCCACCGGTAACGTGATCCTACCGAGTAACGGGATCAAATAGGGATCCCATCGCCAAAAGTAATCCCATCGGAGAAGAGGATCGCACTGGGAAACGGAATACGACCTGAAAACGGGATCCTATTGAGGTCAGGACCCAAACAAGAAATGGGGTCCACCGAGATCGGGACCCCACCAGGAAACGGGATCCCTCCGGAAAAAAAGGAACCAACCACCAGGATCAGGATTCTACCGGGATCTGGATCACACCAGGAAATGGGATCCTGACAGAATCGTGAACCCACAAGGATCCGGATACAATAGGGATCGTAATCCTACCAGGATCGTGATCCAAATGGGATTAGGATCTCAACGGAATCTCGAATACTCACTGGATTTATAACCCAAAAGGGCCGGAATACCGACTGGATTGGGAACAAACAGGTATAGGGATCGTATCGGGATCCGAACGGGGTCAGGATCTCTCTGGATAACGGGATACCATCGGGAAACAGCATGCGATTGGAATCCCTCTGGGATCGGGAACGAAATGTTTACAAAAGTTATTTTAAATGTGTTTTTAATTGTAGACAAATTAATTCTTTAATTTTTTTTTTTACTATAAGGGTGTTTTTCGTTTTTTTACTTGGTGCATAATTTTCATGTTAATTAAAAGGCTGTAGAAGTTGTTTTTCCGAATGCAATCCCATGCAACGCGGGGTATATTGTCTAGTTATATATATAGGTTATATGTAGGAATTATAGCCAGGCACTGGTTTCAGTTTGGAATGCAAGCAGCAAATTAAAAATAAATTCTATAACAAATGTAGAAAAATAGTTATTAACAGGATCTTCAAAAAAGAGGGCATCAAAGGGTAGTTATAAATTTCATGAAATCTATTTCATTATAAATTGATGTCAAGGGCTTTTACAATAGTTTGTTAGGGAAAACTAATTAAAATACTCAATAAATAAGAAATGTTACTGTATTTCTATATCTGTTAAATAGCACTTTCATTCAAATTTCAAGGCATTCCCCAAAAAGAAAATTATAGAAAAGATGAAAGAATTTAACACTAATTTTTTTCCCCCATAAGTACTTAGTATTAAAAGATAATAAATAAAAAGTTCTTAAAACCTTTAGAAAACTTGTACAATTTGAAGATGAGTGATATTTAGCCCATACAAATAAAAGCAAAATATGAAGAAACAAGGAGTGCTTGGAAGACATTATTTAAGTACCTGAAAAATCATTAACGTTAACAAGTCTTTCATTTCTGTGAAAATAATACCTTTGAAAATAATAACATGTTATGTGTGAAAAAAATATAAAATTAGTACTTAGTTTAAATGACAATTTCACAAATTTAGTGTGAATAGTTTTCACATCTGAAAATTAAAAAAAAAAATAAGATAAGACCTGCTTAAATGAATATTAGTGTTGTCCTTAGGAGTTTCTCTGGAAATAGGAACAGTAACATCCCAGATAAATAGGTATCTTAATTTTATTTGCATTAAAAGGAAACATTGAGAAATAAATAATCCTCTAAAGTTAATCAGCAATAATCACCAACTTTGTACAATGATGAACAGATATCTTTAAATATTATGGCACAAATGCCAATCAAGGCACATAAGGTTGACAGATGAGTAGAAAATTACTTTGTCTTCAAAGAAACTAAAAATTTAAAAATAAAATTGGAACCCAAATATAAAAATCCTAAAATTGCATAAGTATCAAATTCTGCAAATAAATGTACTGGTAGTCAGAAATTAAACATGTTACATTTTATAAAATGTCCAGAAAGATTACTCAGGTAACTATAATCTTAATCCTTTCAGTCTGCTTAGTGATTTGATCTTCAAGGACGGCTTGTCATTTGATTTTGGAGGGAATATGGCAGATTCAGACTCTGGATTAGGAAATCGTCTAGTATAAATTGTAGGGTATGTTCTCTGAAACTATAGTATAAATTGTAGGTTATGTTCACTGAAACTAACATAAGAGAAAAATCTGAATATATAAAAAAACTACAGGATAACATGGCATCCAAGAAATAAGCATTATTAAGATATGATTAAGGAAGACATAATACAAACCTACTGACCTACTGAAATAAATACTAGATCAAGGTATTTGGAAGCTTGAATTCAAAGACAGGACAATAAGAAAAGAACATTTCAGCAAAGAGCCTTCCTCAGCAGTTTTCTGGTAGTATTTTAGACAGAACACTAGCTATGGAAAATCACATTAACATGCTTTTCAAGGCGATTTTTCTAGAGCTGCGCAAATGAATCATATCAGACCTTTCTTAACGTTTGACACTCCTGGATAAAATGCAAAAAGCACAGAATAATGTGGCTCGCAGTGTTCTTCGTAAACACAAATTTGACCATCCTAAAACACTTCTGAGAGAGTTGCATTGGCTGCCGATCCATGCTCCCATAGAGTACAAAATTGCAACTTTGTGCTACCGCTGCTTGCATGATATGACGCCTTATGTACCCACTAGACAACTCTGCTCATCGGATAGTGGCAAACTCTCGATACCGCAGGTTTGCCTTGAGACTTACTGAAGGCGCACTTTTGCATTTGCTGGCCCAACAATTTGGAACACCCTTCCTTTAGCTCTCAGAAACAGCCAGAAACTAGAGTCTTTCAAAATCGAATTGAAAACACATCTATTATGCAAACACCTGCTGGCGTGATGTTGTCTACCATCTTTTCCAGCAGGCTATTATCTCCTAGATGTATATTGGCCTGTGTTGTTTATAGTTGAAAGGGATGAAAGACTTTGAATGGGTATGCTCGTTTGTAGTTTTGCGTTTAGTGTTTTAATGTGGTAAAATATAGATTGTTTCATTTCTCTTTTAATATGATTGACTTTGTACAGCGCTTCAAGCCTTAGGGGATGAAGTTTGATTTATTAAAAATAAACTTTATGATTATTATTTTCATTTGTCCTGTTTTTTTTTTATTCAAGCTTCCAGATACCTTGTCCTACTTTTTCCTTTATGCAGCTTAAATGCAGTCCTTCATTTATGATTCTGAAATAAATACCCATTACACTATTTTTACTCTGAATCATATTTTGCTATAAACTTGTTTAACATTAAATTATTAATTTACTTTTAGTTCCCACCTGTTTTAAATGCTTTTTCTTCTCCTTTAGATTTAGGTTTCCATCAGCAATGATGCCCTCTAGAAGTTGCTCTAAGGCAGAGTGTGATGTTGATGTTCTTTGGTTCTCAAAGTCATCGACTGTCGTCTGCTGACAAAACCTCACAGTACGTTCTGGCCTTGGTGAATATACCACCTGTTGTCAAAATAAATTAACCCATCTCTAAACACTGAGTACAGAAATTTAATTAAAATGTATTGTATATACTATTGTCAAGCATTGTATTCAGTAGCATAACATGCAGCTTCTGTGAGACTTATGTGGACTTGTCTCGGTTCATGAGATCTTTTGCCAAGGGGCAGACGCCATGAGAACACTGCTGTCACTGAGATCCCAGCCAGAGAATGAAAATGACTTTAAATATTTATTTAAAATAAGAAGTTTATTCTTCTTTTAACTCATGAAACAATTTATTATGATTGTTTCCTGAGTGATCACAATTTATTTCATATTGAAATTTCTTTTGTTTTATAAAAAAAAAACTTTTTTTTCATTACTTAATTTTTTTATTTTTAAAAGTCTGTTTAAAAATCTCTGACAAGAAAGAAAAAAATGTAATTGGTGGTAGTTTACTTTCTTCGTGTTTCCTACAAATGCTATAAAACTCAGTGTCTGATACACATAATATGTACATAAGGAACTTTAACCGTATTGTTGTATAGTAGTTACCTGTGGTCTCTGCATAATCTTTAATCTTTCACTGACTTGAGTTTTAATGTCTGCAGGTGGATTGAAAATATCATCGAAAAAGTCTAACATGAAAGAGACAAGTTGAAGAACTACTAACTCATCCAAATCGCATTCTTCCTGAGATCTGAGGATAGCTGGGTAAAATGTACCTAGTACCTGCAAATAAAGTACGGTACATCAATTCTTAACACTACTATGTGATATGTTTCTTAAGAGAAGATTTGACTGATGATTTCATCTATTTGTAATAAGAAAATAAGTTCCCTCGATTTCAGAAATCATTTCCTTTATAATGACACATTTAAATTTCCAGATATGGCTGTTTTTCATAAAACATACCAAACTTCGTGTTGTCTGTGTTACATCCAGGCAGAGATTAGGGTTAGAAGTCATTTTCACCATCATTTTAAATAAAAGATGCAGTTTTCTTCTGCTTGATGGGGGCAACAGAAGGCTGACCATCTGAAGTGAGGTTTTTGCCCGATCTTCAGACAGTCGGGTCTGTGGGACTGAACAAAATATAATCTCAATGACAATGTCAACATTTTTATCTTTTGACATACTGTAAATAAGCACATGAAGGTCAACATATTTTAACCAAAAATTCTATAAAAATCAGGGGTGTGACCTATCCACTCAACATCACAGGGATCTGACTCAGGCCTAATAGTAGACCAAGTGTGTACCATGGGTTCAAGCATAAGCGAATGCTAGGGAGAAAGCTTATTTTCCAAGACATTTCGATTTTACAGTTTTCAAGTTTTGATGGAAACTTTCTTTATGATGTCTGTTTAATAAACATGTATTTTATTTACAATAAAAAGGACATTTTAACTCCCCAAAGTAAGAGTGTGACCTGTATGCAAGTATACAATGTAGATACATGTTGAATATACATAAGTTGTAATTAATTCTAAAAATACCATGTTTATTGACATGATTTCATAATGCAATTACATACAGAGAATTCACTATGAGATACTCACAGTTTATAAAATTTGTTCTTGAAAAATCTCCTGTTTTTTGTCTGGTGCTACAGAATGGTGTTATGCGAGACAAATTGAGGTTGGGTGTTGAGATTGGGTCATTGTCTTGGCCCATTTCATGCTGTGCTGACAATAAGTCAGGAATACTTTCAGTGGCTGCCATCGTTGGGTTTGAGTATCTTGTCTGAGTTCTGGGCCTGGGAGGTTTGAAGCCTGGTCCAAAATTACTAAACAACTGGCTAGTTTTATAGGGTGTACCCGCCTCTGTGTTTTTCTGAGGGGTGAGGATCTTAGCACATCTTTCAACAGGTTCTGAGTCATTCATTTCATGTCTGTTTTTTTCTGTTGATAACAAGTCCCCATTCTGGGTGATATAACTTGGTGGTCTGTATCCTGGTCCGTAAGCCTCCACTAAATTTGATGATGGTAGCGTTACTGTTTTATGTTGTAGTGTAACAAAGTCCCCTCTGTTCAGTGATCTTGAATGCAACACATCCTCACTTTCAACTCCCTGGGTCACAGAGTACTCAAAAGCTGCTTCATCTGTTCTGCTGTGGCTTTTTCTTTGGTTGTCACTGTTTCCAACAAGACTTGAGTTCATTCCCTTACTTCTAGCAACACTAATATTATGCAAGTGACTATTTTCCAATACTTCTTGGTCAGTATTACAACCTGTGATATCAATGCAAGATTTACTCTTGGTAAAACTTTTATGAGGACTGTGAGAACCTACTTCCTGTTCATTCAAAAAACAGCATCCAGCTGGGTTCTCTGTTTCACAGAAAGATTGTCTCACTTCACCACAAGCCCTCTCAGTATTAGTCTTTGAATATGATTCATCATCATCTTCATGACCAAAATCTGTAGTCATACCATTCTGGTAAAACACCCTGGTAACAGTACGATTGTCAGGTCCAAAGGCAGTTTCATATCTGGAAACTTTCAAGTTAGGAGTGGAACCAAATTTTCTTAAAATTCCTGTTTTATTTAAGTTGGATCCATTAAAAACCTCAGCAGCTGAGCGAGTTGTTCTGGATAAAAGTTTATGGCTCTCATGTGAATGTAACTTTGAAAAAACGTCCTTGTTAGAAGAGAAAGCTTGACTGTGTTTGTTACTTTGACTCAGCATGTCCATCCCATCTGTACTTGGAAAAACAGTTCTATTGTTATAGCTTCCATGTGTTCTGTCCATGTGACTCACAAATCTAAGATCTTCTTGGGTTCCAAACCATTGCCTTGAAACGCTTGAAGGTTTAAGTTCCAAATTGGAGGTATAGTGAGGTTCAGTGTTGTCAAGCAAACAATATTTCTTGGTAAGATTCAATATTATATTTTCCAGAGAAGCAGATGTCCAAAGACTTGTAGCTCCACTAGATTCTTCCTCAGTCCCATGATGAGGCGAAGAGTGGCGAGGTTGATTGTTACCAGCCATTACTGAATGTGAAAAAAATAATCTTTGTTAAATTTCAATTGCAATTATTTGCGTGAAATAAAGGGAAAGATAAGTTTATAGCCATAGCAAGTATTAATAGATTTAAAATTATTACCAAAAACATTTGTGATGACATCATATAAATTGAAGGGAATTAGAGGTTCTTCCAGACCAAGGAAATAATCCTTGACCACACCAAACACATCTTTCTCAAAGCCTGGATAGCTTGGTAGACCTGGTTCTGGTGGTTCTGGCCCTGTTAAAAATAATAAAACATCTGATGTTTTGCGTTTCTTGCACAGATTACATGCTTTACAGAAGATAAATAAATATTTTTCTAGGGCCTACTAAAAAGCTCAGCTTCTACAAACTTAGACTTACAGCGAGCCAAACACCTCATGGCTGACATCACCCACTGTGGTAGCTGATCTTTACTATCAATGTTTGTCACAATACCACTCTTGTTGAGGTAGATACAATTATGCATGACATTGTAGCCATCAATATCTTCTAAGCTTATAATATCTCCAAGTCTGCTGACACCAAGAGTTTTCTTCAGTCTAAAAAAAATAGTAGAATTCTGCAAATAACAGCAACTAAATAAAGTGACTGCTTGATAAAAGAGTATTTGAAATTTAAAAAAAATATATTTGAATAACACCATATTAGAAACACAATAAAAATTTGCAATTAACTTAAAAACATTTGATGAAATACTTAATAAGAATCTAGTTTTCACGGTTCCTTAATATGCTCTAGTAACAAGTTAAGAAATTAGTGTAATTAATATAATATTTGATTTTGCTATGTTTATTTAGCATTACTTTAAAATAATATGCCGATTTTTCTTTTCTAAATCTTAAACTTAATAAAAATAAAAGTTTAGAATTATATGGACAGAAAGAACTTTCTTCTCTTCTTCGAGACTCCAAAAGAATTAGTGAAAGAGATTACCGCTTGATAAAAACTGTCTTCCATGTTTCTTTAATCTCTCTAGTTGTCAGAACCCTACTAATTAGACGACAAGCGGGATATGTCTCTGATTGTTCTTCTTCTCGATTCTTGGGCACCTTTTCTTTCTTCAAAATGGATAATTTCCTGGTAAGTTTAGACTGTTTATTTTGTTCAGGGGCATTACTGACTAAAGAAGTTTTCAAAGGCTCTTGTTTATCATGTTTCTGATGAAATGATAACTTGTCTTTTGGTGTAAATCTGTTGACATCAGCATCATTCCTTGGAGCAAGTGGGAGACGAAAGATTTTCATCTTGGATGGTGAAGCAGGGAGAAATCTGATAAATGAAAATTAGCAACAGCATTAGTAGCTATTCAGCCAACTGAAAAAAATTAATTTATAATTTTTATTAAAGTCTATCTCTTCACAATGTGGGCTAATAAAATATTCTTTCTTATTCATTGGGTTAAAGTAAAAACTGATCTTTAGATTCATAGTAAAATGTTTATAAAAAATAAATCAGGATAAAATTACTTATAAAGTCTGTTTTCTTGAACATCTTGCTTGTGTCGCATATTTTTAGTGACTTTTACTTCATCAAAAATGCCAGCTTTATACAATTTGTTGAGCAAAGATAGGGCCTTTTCTCTGGATTTATGAAAAAGTGTTCAAAATTATTTATAAGTTGTAAAAAACCTAAAAAGTTATGAATCATACTAAAATAATTAAGCAAAACTGACAGAACCAAAATGAGTAGCATAATATTCATAAAATATCTTTATGTATAATTCACCAGAAACTAGGGCACAACAAGACCAAGATGACCATGCAGGCTATAAATAGATACGCCAGAGCAAGCAAGACGCAGGCAAACCCTACCCTCCCTTGCCTGCCCATCGTTGGTCTCGAGATAAGCGCACTGTGGTGGAGCTACCGTCCCCCCTCCTGCACCACCCTCGCTTGCCAGCCGGCTCGCGGAGTATGCTAAGCCGTGGGTTGGCCGGAAATAAAAAGTGTGACGTATTATGAAAAGGGGTGGGGGGAAGGGGTGTAGCAAAATTGGCATTCTTAAATGTGCGTAACTTGAGTTCACGTTTTTGTCAAGTAACTTTAGTAGATGGGAAGTTCACGCATTGCTGTCGCCAATGTTTGGCAGGCTACATCTAGTATTAGATATTATGAAAGTAGGAAAGAGATAATGGGTAGCATAGCTACCAAACTGTTAATAATAAGGATATGAAACATACAGAAAAAGCTGGAAATTTGACTTTTCAAAACAATGCCTTCTTCAGCAAAAAATTACTGTCAGAATCACTCTCATGAGATGCAACTATTTGTTAGTCATATTACTGATTTAAGTGGTTGAAAAGCGGATAAAAGGACTATATTAGAAGGAAAATAAATCAAATCCAATGCTTTATCTTAACAGTCCATCTGGTAAACTATTATTTGACTTGACTGAGTGGAGTTAACATAGAAACAAAACAAAAAAACCTGCCTTGAGACATCCTCATTGAAATTTTTATTGCCCTTTAAGTAGTGCAAAAGCCAATCAACAGCAGATGATCCAGTGAAACAATTGTCAAAAGTCTTCATATATCGTCTATGACGACCACATGGCAAGTACTGACGAAATGCAGAAATCACATCATTCCACTGGAAAAAAAATTACAGGAAATTAGAATTCTACAAATTGTTTAAATTTAAATAATAGTAATAGCATACACAGTAATACAGTAATAAAGTCCTTTACTTTTTTTGTGTGTGGATGTGTGTGTGTGTGTGGGGGGGGGGGGTAAATGACAAAAAGAGGATGCTTCATATGAAAATTTGAAAGACTTGAACTAAATTTGGTTAATTCTTTATGAACTATTATAAATATGAATTCTGAATAACTGAATATTATATGAAACCACATCAAAACGATTCCTCCATTTACATTGAAGCTAAAATAAGTGATTACCAAAAATTAATAAAGTAGTGGTGAAATATTATGGGCCTAAACTACCCCCATCCGGCCTACAACAAGTGTCAAAATGAAAAGTAAATTAATAAATTAAAGTATGAAATATAATAAAACTTTTTTTAAAAAAAAGCAAAATTTCACATTTATGACTTAAGTTAATAATAATACTTAGCCTACCACACGCGTCGCTTTGTAAGGTCCAATATATGTAGGATCGACTGGATTGTGACAACTATCCATGATTCAATTGATATTCAGACTTGAAAAGAACGAATTTAAATCTCTGAAGTTCAAAAACCAATGTTTTTTTTTTTACTCAGTTATTCTTTTCATCATAATTATTACACTCATTTCAGTCATTTGATGAAAACAGACGTCTTAAAAAACAAACTCTATTCAGTGATTGGCTAGATAAAAATAGTATTGGGGATTCCTAGATCACTCATTGGTCACATCATGAAACACAATTAAAGTAAACTTCCGCAAATTCCTAAATTCTAAATCAAAAGTCGGCTTGGCTTTTAAAACAAAATAAAAATCTGGAGATTAAACTCTGAAATTGTCCACATGATCGTCATGAATTATTTGCATTAGTTTTAATTGAGATCTAATAAATAAAGCCCTTTTCTTTTATATTTTTTTGTTTTTTACTTTAGGAATATACTATTTGTTTCTTTATTTTTCTTGGGAACAAAATAAAAAAAAAAATAAAAATACAACTTCGGGTTGATAAACATGGCGATCAAAATGGAAGGGCCACTGAGCAAGTGGACTAACGTTATGAAAGGGTGGCAATATCGTTGGTTTGTTTTGGATGATTCGTCAGGTCTTCTTTCATATTATACTGTAAGTTAACTATCACTAAATTAAGCATGGATTGTGACACGTAAAGTAAATTAAGCTGACAAATTTTAACGTTATCGACATCGTAATTGCGGTAGATAGTTTAGTAAAAAAAAAACAAAAAAATGGGGGTGGGGCAGGAGGCTTTTTAATTTTTAGCTTTATAATAGACAAAGTTTCTACTGCCTTTAGCGGTACCATTATTTCTCGATATTATTGAACAGGTCTAAAGGTAGAGTTATCTCGACACTCAGTTGGTGACATTCAGTTGGTTGAAGGCTCATATTAGTCATATTGGCATTATTACTAAATTGAAATTGAAGTTGAAGGGTTCCATTCTCAGTCTTAGTCACTAACCTAAGTAACTTACTCAATACTTTATCTAAGTAAAAAAATGTACATGTTATGATAGTACTATAATATAACATTAACATGTTATAATAAATGTTATTATTTAAATACCTGTAAAAGTAAAATGTAAATATTTACATATTCTTATTTTCCAGTCTAAAGATAAAATGGTTAAAGGCTCAAGACGAGGATGTGTGCGTTTAAAGGTAACTTCAAATTTTTCCACTTTTGAAATAAATTAGATTTTTTTAAAAATTAAAAAAAATATATATATTTTTAAAAAAAATCATTTCCCCCCATTTTTTGTTATCACTGTTTAACTGTTTCTGAACATGAAGGTTGCAGGTTTAATTGAGTTTGAGTTAATCCCACCTACAGCAATTAACTGGTTTTAGTGAATTTGTAGCTGTGAACTATTGGGGTGTGTTAAATAACTGTTCTTTGAAAAAAAAACTGCAGCCACCAAACAAAGAAGGAAGAAGTAATAAATTGTGCGTTAACTGAAACAAATGGCTGTTTATGCTCTCCAAACTCATTGGGTTAAATGCACACTATACAACAAAAATACCTAAATAATAATAATTCCATAAATATTTTATGCACCCACTTCCGGAGTTGTATGTCTTATGTAAGTGTTCATTAATCTGATTGCAGTGTTATCTGTCTTCCCCAGGGTGCTATTATTGGTATTGATGATGAGGATGATAGTACCTTCACCATCACTGTTGACCACAAAACATTTCATTTTCAAGGTTACTGTTTTGAAAACTTTTGTTTGACTTTTAATTAGGGGTGTGCCGGAGTCCGGTCCGGAATCCGGTTCCGCCGGATTTTGCACTATCCGGTGAAATCCGGTTCCACCGGATTTACATGTATCCGGAACAACCGGATTCCGGAATCCGGAATATACTGGATTTCGGAATTTGCCAGATTTTGTGACTCACCGGATCATAATCTGAAATAAAAGTAATTCTCTTTCCCGAATTCCACACGATCACGATACATTAATCGATTGTTTCGAGCGTTGAGCTTGTTTAATGTTTAATATTCCGTACATACCAGAGGCTAGAGTCAGCACCGCTAATAGTGGCCAATAGTGTAGGGACTTTGATAAGAAAATTTAAACTTTTTGTAAAAATAAACCAATGGCATAGTTGAAAAGATGTAATTTTTTAAAGAATTATAACACCAAAATCATATTTTTAGCTGTTGTAGTTTTAAAGTTATGAATTTTTAAAGTACGACTTGGTTTGTCATTTTTTAACATGGACTGCATCTCCACATTCTGTGATCTCATTCCACCAATCCCGTCATGCGCAATGACTATATAGTTTATATAAGGCAACGCATTCCCTGCCTTATCACTAAAATACTGTTTAGACTTAGTTTAAACTTTCAACTTTGGCACATGAATAATTAATTAAAGCTTTCCCTGACCAATGGTTTAATAGTTTTTGCACACGGCAAACTCTTATGAATGAAACTCTGAGGTAGTACTACGATACAGTTATGCAAGTGGCTGTGAATGGTTGCCAATGACAACGTGTTGCACACGGTAAATTCTGATCATTTATAATATGGATTCTACCGGGTTGTTAAAGCTCAAATTAAAACATTCCAGTTTAAATGTCTTTAAATGCATTCTGAAACACAAGTTATCAATTATTTTGATGTAAATAGTGATAATAAATTAATATTTCCTAAGTATCGTCAACTTCCGCCATTAAAAAGGGGGGCGTGGCCAACCCCATGGCGAAATTAGGTTGAGCGAGCTGCATAACCTGCTGCGAACGCGTAGAAACATGGCGTCTCTCGTAAGACACTTATCCAAATGGAACGGAACTCAAATATATATCGAAAGTACTAATTTAATAATAAATAGACACACACATCGGAAAATTAAAAACTCGGATTTTTTGGCGCCGATTGCGAATTCCCATACACAAAAAGTAGTAGTCCACCTTGACTTACCGAAGTATCTACCAATAGTACCAAAATCCGGAATCCGGGAGAAACCGGAATCCGGATTATTCCGGAATCCGGATCCGGATCCGGCGGATTTCGCATAAGAAAATCCGGATCCGGTTGGAAAAAACGGATCCGGCACACCCCTACTTTTAATCCAGTTTTCTTTTTATCAAAATATGCCATTCCTGTGAATAAAGTTATGTACTTTGTTGCCAAGCATTTGATTTGTTGCTTAAATTTACTCCTAAACCATATGATGTTACAAGAAAAGAATCCTAAATGCTTTCTAATAGTGACTTATCTGCTTATTAAGACTTTTAGTGTGGAAATTTTATCAATATTATTCTATTAAATTCCACAGCGAGAGATGAAGAGGAACGTGAACGCTGGATTGAAGCCTTAGAGAGTGCTATATGTCATATAAGTGGTGAGGTAAGTGCTGATATGATTTCCTTTTCCAGTTTTCTGTTCACAAATATAATAAATAAAAGAGGTGAGCACCTAATTGCAGAGTTCCCCAATACCGAGGGTGGTTTGAAAAGTCAAACCTGGAAGCCTGCATTGATTGTTTAATTTATGGCGACGCTCACTTGATGAGGCTTGCCTATGATGTACTAGCCAAGGTTATAAAGAGTCTGGGTTCAACATTACAAGAGAATTATTCATAATTAATAGTCAGTCAGTCATGAGGTATAAATTCTGCTATTTCTTCTTCAGCAAAATTGTCCTCCTTTTAGAGTTTAAGTTTTATTTAAAAAATGTTTTAATAAAAAAAATAGTTTACTGAAAAGTAATACCTAGAAGCTCTCCCCCTCTTTTGTGTTTGAAAAAATTAAATGGAGTAGACCTTTCATCAAACATATGGGTTTAAGTATGAAAGGTTGAAACATTTGATAGTTAAAAAATATTGCCTCTTGTACCACAATATTTAGACAAAAAGAAAAAGATTTAAAGAAAACTAGAATTTTATCAATCTATTTTCTTTATTTTTAGAAAACAGATAGCAGTGAACGCGCAAGCACTTTGGAGGATTTTGAGAAAAAACTGATGGAAACGGATGCATACTTGCAGCTACTTATTGAACAAAATGAGGTAAATGTTTTCAAATAGAATTAAATGTATCTTATTTCCAATTGTTGAGGCTGTAGTTACCACATAATTGTTATGGTTTTAAAGAACTATAATTTCTTATATAATAAAAAAAAAACTGTAGTGAATTGCTCAACATTTTTCTTATACTTGGTCTCCTTAAAATATCTTATATATATTCTTATATTACTGCAAATACTAACACAAGAACATGAGATCAAGTGTAAAATAGTATTATCAAATGATAATTTATTGCTGACACCCTAAAAATGTGTTCAATGATACTTATCCTTTAAAGAATTTAATATAAGAAAAACAATACTTGATAATAGTTTTAAATACTTTGCAGTTTTTGAAGCTAGTACATTGTGGAACCTGTGATTATTTTCAGATTTGTTCTATGATAAAAAAAAACAAAGATATGTATGATAAATTATACAGAACTATTTACTCTATAAATAGTCTTCACAAAGCTAACTAAAAGGTCATTTAAAATAATTTAAAATAATTATTAATAGAAGCCTCTTCTCATTTTCATGTTATTTTCTTAATTTAAGGCTCTAGAAAAGAAAATTGAAGAGTGCCCAACTGAATCTGACAAGGAAAGGTACAATGTGATTAAAGTGACAGCTGATGTAAGACTCTTTGTTTTATAACTTTCATAATATTAGGTTTATAAATTAAAATATTTAAGCCTTTACAAATGATTTTTATAGATTGACATGCTTGGATAATGAGAAGGATAGCAGAAAGTTGAGGAAATAGAATACAATGGACCCTTTTTAGAATACAAAGGACCCTTTTTTAAGTAATAACAAGACCTGTATTTTGTAGGTGACATCACCCTATTATCTTAAAGCCATAATCTGCAAAACCTTGAATCAATTTCCAGACAAAAATTGTACTTGCAATAAATGAAAACAAAAAACTGAAGTTATGAGAATAAATGAAAATAGCACAGGAGTTGTAGCAATAAGAGGGAAAGCACTGGGAGGAGTAGATAATTGTATCTATCAAGGAAGTATAGTTGGTTTGGATTGGGGATGAGAGGCAAATATCAAGGCAAGAATATAGATGTCAAGAGGAGCTTTTACTTTACTTAAAAATATTTGGAACTCTAGGAAAATAAAGAGAAAGACAAACATAAGAATTTTTAACGCAAATGGTTAAGTCTGTTCTGGTGTATATCTCAGAAAGCTGGAGATCAACCAAGAAAGATTGGTAAAAACTGCAAGCCTTCATGAATCCCACTAGAGCAAGAAATCTGGAAAATGAGGTGGAGATGGATTGGTCATGCTATGAGAAAACCAATGGCAAATTTAGCGAGACAAGCACTGGTATAGAACCCATGGCAAATATAGCAAGACAAGCACTGGTCTGGAACCAATTGCAAATATAGCAAGACAAGCACTGGTCTGGAACCCATGGCAAATAGCAAATATAGCAAGACAAGCACTGGTATAGAACCCATGGCAAATATAGCAAGACAAGCACTGGTCTGGAATCCATGGCAAATATAGAAAAACAAGCACTGGTCTGGAATCCATGGCAAATAAAGCAAGACAAGCACTGGTCTGGAATCCATGGCAAATATAGCAAGACAAGCTATGGTATGGAATCCTCAGGGATCAAGCAGAAGAGGAAGACCCATAAACACTTGGAGTTAAGATGTTGAGAAAAATGTAATAAAGACTGGAAAGAGAGAAGAATTTTGAAACATTAAGGCTTGGAAAAAAAATAATTAATGGCCTACTCTGCACTGGGAGTTTGAAAGGCAAAGTAGTAGAAGAATAAACATTCCCTATATCTACTGTTTGCATTTTCAGTTTTACTGATTAAAAAAAACTATAGTAATTATTAATGCATTTTTAAGCCTTTCTTTCTTACTTTCTCAGGCAATGATTGAGGCCATCAAACATTCCATTATTCAACTTCAAATATCCAAAGTAAGTTCCTTAAACTAATACATTCAATTTTTTTGTTGCTATGGTACAGGAGTAAGGGGGAGACAAAATCATTATATATGATAAATTATGTTAGAGTGAAAGTTGTGCAATGATTCTTACTGAGCCAAATAAATACTATAATTTATTAGTTGCTGAATTATTCAACTTCTTTTTTTTTGTTCCATAATGTTTTTTATGAAAATTAAGAAAATGGACTTAAAATTCTCCCCCAGTACAAAAAAAATATTTTTTAGAGATTGTTTTCAAAGTTAATGTTTCTCTTGTGTAATATTGAGAGGACTGGGTTCAGTTTGAAACATTATGAAATTTAACAAACAGAGTAGGGGAAACCAGAACAAGCACACAGACAACAAACTGTCGACTAAAAAGTCATCAGTAAAGAAAGATTGACTGCCGTAGAATGCGACCACCCTTTTAAATAGGACACTTTTAAAAAACTTTTTCTTTAAAAATTCTACCTTTTAAATGTTTATAATACTAAATCCACGAATCTTAAACTGGCGTGGTTTTTATTAAAAGAAACTAATACAAACATTTTTTTCCAAAAGGAATGCTTGAAAGAACCAATCTTAAATGGGGCAGTTGGTGATTCCCCTCTTATCACAGATGGGGCAAATTTCAGTCATTATGGGGCATCCCCTCGTCAAGGTCAGTTTCTAATCTGGCTGTCGTACCTATACTCGAATATCTATCTCATGATTTATGGTTTCAACTTTCGGTAATAACCACATTTTTAGATCAATAACTTTTTTTATTTGAAGCCTTGATAATAAAACTCTGTTGTTTGGTTGATCACTGAAAAATGTTTAGCTAGATAAGTTTTGCATTTGGCTTTCAACCTTTACATATCGTTGTCCAAATTCAATCTTACTAATAATTGGTTTACATCTTTATCATTTGGGTGGATGTTGACTTAAGAGACTAAATGTACTCTATGGGTTAGTTAATTTGAAACAAATTAATTAATTTTGTGACCATTTGATATTTCTCAACATAGGAACTTTTCCTAACTGTATATCTAATCTTTTGTCACTTGAACTACATGTTTCAAATCCATCAATATGTATGAATGTTACAAAATATTTAAAGTAATGTTTTAGGTCTATATGCATTAATATAAGATAGCATTAGATTGAATGAAAATTAAATTTCAACACACATTTCAATGAAATAGGAAGTGTTCCACTACATTTTGGATAATTTTCCCTTTATTGCTCACCATTCTTCCTTGCTGCAGTGATGCCTTCCCTGTCCACGGAGAATGTGTGCAGAGCCAGCAGGTTACCCCACCCCCACCTGACATCTCAGACCAGCATTTCCCTTCCTAATCTTGCCTGTCCTGGTACTATCAATAATGCATTCTCTGTAGTAGGCTTCAATGCATTTTTTATATCGGGGTACAGTGCTATGCTACCAAATATCTTTATATAACGAGTGCTGTTTTGGACTGCTTAGCATTCTGTGCTACTTCTTTTACTTTGGGGGTTCTGTCTTTGCCAGACACCTTGGCAGATTTCATTTTTAAAATAAGACAATGATTGTCCTTTCTAATGTGGGAGTCAAGACCTTACTATATAAGCTATTCTCATGGAGTAATAAATGTAATCATGCAGATATACTTTCTTAAACATTTTACCCTGTATTGAGAACTAAAACTAACAATGTAGAACTAATGATAACATACTTGAAAATAACGATCTGTTTTCAGTTAAGCTATATCTAGCAAATAGGATATAACTTTTGGGTGACTATTGGGGAGACTGCCACATGGGAAGTCTTGAGAAAAGCTAACAGAACAAGTAAAATAGTAAAGTTGACATAAAAAGATAATTAGTTTACAGAAAGTAAACAATATTTTTAAATTTTATTCTAAAACTTTCCCATACTATGGGCTTCATATTTCCCTATAATTGTCTTTTCACCAGTGGTTCTCAGTTTATTTTAATCCATAAACAAACTGGCCTGGACAACCACAAACTGTAATTACCTACACATTTTATAATTTTGAAATAATCTTAATTTGAAACATCTACTTTGATATTTATAAATTCCAAACAGTTAAAAATTCTTGGCAGTCGGCTTTATGTGTTTTCAGAGGCACTGGTCAGTGCATGCTTCCACTGCAGTGTGTATGTGAAAATAATGAACAAAATATTAAATATACATTGTTGCTTGGAATTAATTTTTTGTTTTTATTAAAATAATTATGTAATATGAATCTGGGGCAATGGAATAAAACATAATATAATAGCTAAGCTTTAATAATACTTGTTGCTTGAATGCCACATTCTCTTGGCACTTGTCATGAAAGAGCTTTTATAAAGATCATTGTGTCAACTTCAATAACAACACTGCTAATCAACATACAAATGTAAACTTTAGTTTCCTTGTTGATTAGAAGTTTCTTTGCTGCAATTTTTTTCTAAGTAGGAAACATTTGTATGAGCATTACTCATGTTTCTTTCATGTTTTTTATGAAGTATAGATCAAATTGGTATGAAGTCTTCCAATTATTTCCCTAGTGGCCACTATACCACTGTTGCAAATTTTTGAATTACTCCAATTGATATAGGTGTATTCCATGTAAAAGTGTAAACAACATCAAAAAATAAAATTGCATAAAATTTGGTTGGTGCTATATACATTTATTTCATACATCTTGGTATTCATTTTGATTATCTTTGTTTTGTGTGACACATGACCTGGTGGCCATTTTGAAATAACTACATGTTGTCGACACATTTTAAAAGAAATTTTGTTGAATTTCATTTTGTTTATATCAAATGAATATTGGCTGACAATTTTAATTGTTATGGTCAACGTCACATGACGGACAAACATCGAAACACTGTTCTTTATGTTTATTTAAGTAAATAATAACTGCTACAGTGAAGTATTTGTAATTCCTGTAAAAGAATTGACATTGTTCTACATTTTATTGATTCAGGCGCGTCTCGTTTGTTTCATTCTTTTGTCTGTATTTGTTTTTTTAAATGTGCTTTATAAGTAGTTATTAAAGTTTCTCATTAGAAAAGTAAACATTGTAGATAATGAGTTTGAAAAAATATATTTAAATTAAAGCAGATTTCAGAGGAAATCAACAAAATATATGCTAACTCAAATAGCTGGTCTTTTTCATGTTATGTCAGTTAAAATTCCAAAATGTATTATTTTTTACTATTACACTTAATATATTTTTATAAATGCAATTTTTTAAAATTTCTACCAACTTATGACCCTCAGCCACGCATACTTGAATTAAGCACACTTCATGGCATTTAAACTAGTTGCCAAATGAAATTATTTTTCTGAAAGTTTCGACAGTTACAATGTAATTCACATATAACCTTGTGTTTGCTATGTTAGATTCATTGTGCCCTCCCCATCTCATCAGCTCTGCTTCCTGCATGCATGTGGGTGCATGTCAAAGCTTCCATGTTTGTTTTCTCTGATGTTTAAAGAAGACTTACTTCCCAGCCTCACTAAACATTTTAAAAAAACTTGAGCTGTTTAATTGTTGTTTCAGAAGATCACAACAATCAGTGTGATTTACAGTTGTATTATAACATGCCATTTGACCACAGTAACCAAAGTATTAAAATAATTATCATCGTTTCTAAATTTTGTTGGAACAATAAAAAAAAAACATTAGCATTAACAATTACCGCTGTTGATTTAAACAAATTATTTACACTTTTAAGAATTCGGAAAGGCTTTTTTTCTTCTTCTTTTTTTTAAATTGTGCTTTTCATCAGTAGTTCTTGAAGTTAAATAATGACCTAAATAGAATGTATTTTATCTTATTGATTCAAATTAATACTTGTTGATTTTTTTTGGTATGTTTTCTTACAACACTATAAACAATCTCTGATTTACCAGTAAAAAAAAAAAAATACTCTAAATATTAAATTGGTTAAATTGTTACTATAAAAATTCATTAAGATATGGGGGCTACTTGAGTTAAATTTAAAGAAATAATGAAAGTAATAATTTAAAAGATGTTTAATCTTCTTTTTAAATTGTTAACTTAAAATTTTTTATTAAACATAGAAAACTATGACAACAAGAAACATTTTAAAAATTGCTTGAAAGTATTAAAGATTTTCTTGATTCATTAAAGCGAATCCTGACAAAATTCATAAAAAGAACAAATATATTTTAAAAGTTGAAAACGTGTTATTTTGATTCGCCTTGATCTGTGAATTTTTTTGTGACCAGATGACAGCTTGACGGCAGCAGCAGGAGATAACGTCCCTACCATATCCTATTCCTCTAGTGAAGATGAGGAGTTCTATGATGCTGAGGAGCAGAAGTCACCAAAGTAAGGTCTAGAGCATTCTTTACAGGCAAACTTTGCTTAATCTTGAGGTTGTTAAGGGATACCAGCAAATTGGGGAAAAAAATCCAGGAGTAAACCATAGCCTGTATTTAAACTTATAAATGACTTTTAAATTAAAGGCAAAATATCTCGGTAAGAGACTGCAGAACTCAGAAATGAAAAAAACTCAATGTATGTGAACTCACAAGTATATGAGACAAGGGCAGGTGCACTGCGGAAGCTGATATTGAAAAGTGATGGTTAACCAAAGTCATGAGGTGCAGGTTAAGCCTTTACAAGTATCATGTTTACATTTAAAACTCTTCAACTATACTACATAAGGAAATAAGCTTTACATTGAACTGAACTGGAAGTTCTTAATCTCGATAGTCTTGGGGCTCTATTGGTATGTTATTATTTGGGTCTCTTTCAAAAATTGATTTTGAGTAAAGCCCATTTGAAGAAACATAATTAGAAGACTTTCAAAATTAGCTTTCCTGAAACTCCCAGTCCAATCCCTGGTCTCAGAAACCCTCAACTGATCTCTATCAGTCAAGCTACACAAAGGATGTTTTGAGCTGTCTTAAAAAAAAAATGTCAATATTAGTTTAGTCTTATACAACATGTTGATAACCAAAATATTTCTCTTCCATGGAATACCTCAGGAGAAGTGAAGTCGCCAAGCACAATCCACCAGCAGGAGACAGTTCCAATGCTGAGAGTGATGAAAGAGAAGAACCCCAGTCAGAGACCCCCATCATATCTGCTGCTGAGGATTATTTTGATGGTAAACTTGAATACAGATTCCTTCATTTAGTTACAAATTTAACAGACAGGCTATACCATTAAAATGGACCTTCTCCTTTATACCACTTTATAAAATACTAAATGTTTAAATTTGTTGTTCCCCAGAGTTGTATGATACAAGAGATAATGAAGATTGTAAGTGTACAAATTTTTATTATTTTTTTGCTGCCAAGAAATATTTCTATAATTGGCAGATTCATTATTGTTGATTAGTATTGTTTGTAAAATTATTTCATCTTATTTTGTCTTTATGTGTATTAGTAACGGTATTGTTCAATTTATATTCAGAAATAGTTCCAAGGGATTTTATTCAGACTTAGTATTACCTTTTTACCTCAGTGGGTTCCATGGAGCAGCATGGCAGCATCATAGGGCATTTGCTGTCTCAGGTGCGGATAGGAATGGACCTCACCAAAGTTGTTCTGCCCACGTTTATTTTAGAGAGACGTTCTCTGCTAGAAATGTTTGCAGATTTCTTTGCTCATCCTGACGCATTCAGCAAGTAAGTCGTAACAGATTATAAAGTTAGTTACAGTTAAGTGGGAACTTTATAGAGTCAATCATAGTTAAATGTAAGGATACAGAATTAGGTATAGTTGAATATTAGGTTATAGAGTTAGTAATAGTTGAATGTAAGGTTACATAGTTATAGTTCAGTGGTTCTTAACCTTTTTGGAGGTACTGGAACCCCACCAGTTTCATATGTGAATTCACCGAACCCTTCTTAATAGGAAAAATAAAATATGATATTTTTTGTGGGGATTTTTTTTTGGACCTCCGCTGAACCCCTGAGACTGACTCACCGAACCCCTGGGGTTCGATCGAACCCAGGTTAAGAACCACTGTTATAGTTGCATGTAAGGTTATATAGTTATTGTTGAATGTAAGGTTATATAGTTATAGTTGAATGTAAGGTTACATAGTTATAGTTGAATCTAAGGCTACATAGTTATTGTTGAATGTAAGGTTATATAGTTATAGTTGAATGTAAGGTTATATAGTTATAGTTGAATGTAAGGTTACATAGTTATAGTTGAATGTAAGGTTACATAGTTATAGTTGAATGTAAGGTTACATAGTTATAGTTGAATGTAAGGTTAAAGAGTCAATCATCATATTTGAATAATTATTGGAAATTTATTTGAAAGAAATTTCGTCAACGGAAAATTGATTGATCGGCGAAAATAAAATCGAACGTAAATTTGGTTGAATCTTTTTTTCAGTTGACGCGTTAAAATTTTGCATCAAATTTCTTTTTGAATGAAATATTTTGTTATACTATATAATATAGTATAGTGTGTTTAAAAATAAATTTGAAACAAAATTTTAAAGTGTGAACTCAAAAAAAGATTCGACCAAATTTCCATTCAGTCTAATTTCCATGGATCAATTTTCCGTCGACGAAATTTCTTTCAAACAAATTTCCGGATATGTAGTTGAATGTAAGGTTATAGAGTTGGTCATCAAAGTTGAATGTAAGGTTATAGAGTTAGTTATAGTTGAATTTTATCTTATAGAGGAAATAATATTATTAAATTTTAGTTTATAGAGTCAGTCATAGTTAGGTGTCGCAAAACTGGTCCCTTTTGCCTAAACCAGTATTTTCGATATTGAAGTTTACAAATACCGTAATCCCGGTATTTTCGATATTAAGAGAATTTTTAGTTATGATTCGAGATTAGAGGTGAGGATTTATCAATGAAATAAAAACATTTAGAAAAAATATCACATTTTGATTTTTAATAAGCTTTTAAACACACGTTTATCATCAAGATTTTGATTAAAAGTACAAAAACTTTTAATTTAAATAGTTTTAAAAATTAAATATTAAAATAATTGGTGTTGTTTTAACCTTTGGTCAAATTTAAATAATGAAATCGTAAAAATGATAAAGTATAATGTTTGGTCACTTAACTTTGACCGCAAATGGTTACAAAAGTTACCTGATGAAGAGAACACCCGCTCTGACTTTACACTGGTCGGAGGAATAGACCTTAGGCTATCATAAGCAATTTCTAGATATTTTCCTCTTGAACCGCCATTCTCAAATAAAGCCATTTCTATTTTTACCAATGTATCAATGTCTCCAGCCGTTAGTCTGGAAGTATTTTCCTGAGCCTAAAGTTTCTTTTGTATTTCAATTTCTTATTGTCTCTTAAGCGGCAGTGTGTCTTCATGTTCGTCATGCTCTGATCCAAGATGTTAGATTTCATTGTTCGTAGATATTTTCAACAAGGAATCCGCTGTCTGACCAAGCTTTTGAAAATCCACGATATATTTTCACATCCGGTCGCAATCTGGCCTAGAAATGTGCACTGGAATGTGCAGACTTTAAATGAGAGTGAAGGCCTGAAGTTGTACCTCCTAATTTTTTTAAAAGTATCTTGTTACATCTAATACATTTAGCTGAGAGATTGTCTGTAGCTTTCAAGAAATGATGCCAAACTGATGTCTTTGTTTCCGATAGTATCATATGCTTTTCAAATTTAGGTTTATTTTTTCAGGGTCCCCCATTTCTTTCTATCAACCTGGGAAAAATAAATCATTAACAAAAAATTATTAATTCAATCGAATTGATGTGAGGTCTAAAATTTTCTTTTTAATGATTAAATTGTCATGTAAATGTTTGGCTAAATACGGTACAGAACAATTGGGACATTCAGTCATGTAAATTTTGGTTAGGTACGGTACAGAACTGTTGGGACATTCAGTCATGTAAATTTTGGCTAGGTATTGTACAGACAAACTGGGAAATTCAGCCTGAGGCAAAATAGCTAGAAAATCAATTATGAGTTGAATATAAATTGTTAATATTGTTATCACAAAATAGAAGTAACATAATTTTTCTGTCTTAAATTTAAGGTATTTGATTATCAAAATACGGATTTACTCATATTTTTAAATATGTAGGTTTTTTTGGCATAATTAAAAGAAAGCAAGCAATCAAAAAAAAAAAATAAATTTAAAGTTGACCCCGTGATTTGAGTGCAACATGTTATTATTTCAAAACAAACTCTTAATGGAAGTCAAAACTCGATCTTCATTTAACTATACCAATCATTTATTTATCAATAATATGAGAACATTTACTTACCAATCCTGTACCTTCACGTCGTGACTCGTCTCTACTTACACACTACACACGCACAAGATGAAAAAACAAAACTAATCACAACATCATGATTCTTGACAAATAAGAGTATACAGATCTAGCCCGTCGGTTGGCATTCTTTGAACTTGAGACACGTGGTGTGATGGATTTGCACATCTCATAAATTATTCATATTAAATGCTTTAACTAAGACGTTGAAACTAAGAAAAACGATTAAAAAAAAAAAATTGAAAATGAAATCCCTGGATTATCGAAAATCCCGGTTTTCATAAATTCAATCCCGGTTTTTTCGAATATCAATTATAGTCCGGTATTCTGGTATTTTCGAATTTCAGGATCCCGGATTGCGACCCCTAATCATAGTTGAATGTTAGGTTTTAGAATTATAAATGATTAAAAGTTAATTATGGAGTTAGTACAGTAAAACCTGGAAATAGCGATTTTGAAATTGCCATGTTCCTGGCTTATACACTAACTCAACCTTGTGTTGATTGATTTATTGTGCATGATCATCACTTTGGTGGAACCTGCAAATAGCACGAGCCCTGCAAATAGCACCACTTTTGGTTCAGTACGAAGGGTTAGGGTTAGGGTTTTATGCTCTTTCCAAGATTCAGAGAAATAGTTAAATTTTAAGAGTAAAGTTAGTTATAGTTAATAAGGTTATAGTTATTAATACATTTTTTTAACATTCATCTATTACTTGCGCTTTAAACTTAACATTAAACTATTAATAACTCCATAAACTTAAAATTTTAACTATCTCTAATACCAAAACTTCAAATCTACACACTCGTCATTCAACTATTACTAAATCTATAACTTCAACATTTAAATATTGCTAATGATTTAAACTTGTTTTAGAGTTATTAAAGGTCATATGATAAGCCTACAGATGCCATTTACAATAACAGTTAAAATAAGTGATTTTTGATGCCCTTTTTTAAGTTCCCACTCTAAAACTTTGAAAGCCCATTAAATACACTTATAAAAAATGCCACTTGACTGTACTTCAGGATAGCTGATGCAACAAATCCGAGGGACAGAATGGTACAAGTTATACGCTGGTATTTGGGAGCATTTCATGCTGGTCGACCCAGTGAAGTAGCCAAAAAGCCCTACAACCCAATCCTAGGAGAAACATTCAAATGCCATTGGCAATTACCTGATGTCACCAGTGATAATGTAAGTCTTATTATAGAATTTAACAAGTTTTTTACATCAGTTTTATTTGTTTTAGCGGATTCAAATAATTCAATGGATTTGACAAGACATAATGACATTATTTACATGATTGATTCAAAGTAATTTATATCAAGATTATTTGTTAGGGCTTTATATCAAAACTGTGGTAAATATCTTGAAGTCACATCTTAAAGAATGGTCATGATTTCAAGTGTTTTTAGTTAGTTTAGAGTTTCTTCTCTGTTTTATTTCATACACTGTTTATACTATTTGCTTCTTTAAGGTCATTATAAAAAAAAAATTATCTTATGCATAAAATCAAGTGTTGTCAATACTAATAGAGAGCAGGGACATATTTTTAAAAAGCCTCACCATACTTATAAAAAAGGGTGAAATGATTGAGTCATTATTAAAATATTGCTTTCATTTCTTTAAACCAGGCCTGCACAACTCAAAATGTAAGGCAGGCCGTAATACTTTATGGAAAAAGTTGTGCCGGCGGAAAGATAAGCGGACAGGGGTGAAAGCTATTAAGAAAATAATAATAATAAAGAATATTTTTTTCCCTTTGGGCCCCCAAGTGGGTGCTGGCAGGCCGCATGCAGCCTGCGGGCTGTATGATGTGCAGGCCTGATTTAAACTGATGAAACTAACAGACAAAACTGAGTGTATTTTTTGATCATGTTGAGATTGAACGTAGTTATGGAAGTCAAAAGTTATTCACTTTCTCTGTTTGAGTGAGGAGGGTTGGCAAGACTAAGCTAGGAACTAATGCACCAGAGGAAGTGTGGCAAGTCTAAGCTAGTAACCAATGCTAGTGAGGAGGGGTGGCAAGACTAAGCTAGGAACTAATGCTAGTGAGGAGGGGTGGCAAGACTAAGCTAGGAACTAATGCTAGTGAGGAGGGGTGGCAAGACTAAGCTAGGAACTAATGCTAGTGAGGAGGGGTGGCAAGACTAAGCTAGGAACCAATGCTAGTGAGGAGGGGTGGCAAGACTAAGCTAGGAACCAATGCTAGTGAGGAGGGGTGGCAAGACTAAGCTAGGAACCAATGCTAGTGAGGAGGGGTGGCAAGACTAAGCTAGGAACCAATGCTAGTGAGGAGGGGTGGCAAGACTAAGCTAGGAACCAATGCTAGTGAGGAGGGGTGGCAAGACTAAGCTAGGAACCAATGCTAGTGAGGAGGGGTGGCAAGACTAAGCTAGGAACCAATGCTAGTGAGGAGGGGTGGCAAGACTAAGCTAGGAACCAATGCTAGTGAGGAGGGGTGGCAAGACTAAGCTAGGAACCAATGCTAGTGAGGAGGGGTGGCAAGACTAAGCTAGGAACCAATGCTAGTGAGGAGGGGTGGCAAGACTAAGCTAGGAACCAATGCTAGTGAGGAGGGGTGGCAAGACTAAGCTAGGAACCAATGCTAGTGAGGAGGGGTGGCAAGACTAAGCTAGGAACCAATGCTAGTGAGGAGGGGTGGCAAGACTAAGCTAGGAACCAATGCTAGTGAGGAGGGGTGGCAAGACTAAGCTAGGAACCAATGCTAGTGAGGAGGGGTGGCAAGACTAAGCTAGGAACCAATGCTAGTGAGGAGGGGTGGCAAGACTAAGCTAGGAACCAATGCTAGTGAGGAGGGGTGGCAAGACTAAGCTAGGAACCAATGCTAGTGAGGAGGGGTGGCAAGACTAAGCTAGGAACCAATGCTAGTGAGGAGGGGTGGCAAGACTAAGCTAGGAACCAATGCTAGTGAGGAGGGGTGGCAAGACTAAGCTAGGAACCAATGCTAGTGAGGAGGGGTGGCAAGACTAAGCTAGGAACTAATGCTAGTGAGGAGGGGTGGCAAGACTAAGCTAGGAACCAATGCTAGTGAGGAGGGGTGGCAAGACTAAGCTAGGAACCAATGCTAGTTTATACTTGCTAAACATGTTTTGCCAGGTTTTTAACCATGAACATTTAGAAAATTATAATTTCTTTAGTTATACATTCTCATTTTGGGACAGTTGGCATGGAATGAATGTTCCTACTGATAGGTTAGTTCAATTCAGTCTTATTTAGCTGATGATTTTATCAAAGCAAAAACCAGTAGCTCAGCATTTTTTCCCAAACAAATGTTAATAAGTTCATTTATAAATTTTAAACAAGACATACACATTACCAAAAAAAAATTTAAAATAAAATAAAAAATAAAAAATATGGCAATATGTTTCACAGCTCATAGATATGTGTAAGGTATTAATTCATCACAGATTTTCTTGTACATTCCTTCCTCATGTACGATTCTGTCAACAGGAAAAAGCAAATGATGGTCCTATACCTTGGGCTTCCAAGGACAACTTGGTATTTATAGCTGAGCAGGTCTCACATCACCCACCAAGTTAGTGTTCCATGCATCTGTTCAAATAGATTGACAATGGTTTTATTTTGTACTAGAAATAGATTCATTTTAATTTTCTTTACTAGCTGTACATTTGATATTTACATTATATTGTGGAAAATAGCTCAAATTTATATTAGAATAAGAGCTAATAACGGCTATGTATTTACATCCAGTTTCAGCCTTTTATAGTGAAAATTACAAAAAGCGCATCTCTCTTGATGGTTACATCTGGACCAAGTCCAAGTTTTTAGGATTGTCTATTGGAGTCCACATGATTGGAGAGTGTGTTCTGTCTGTTATTGATTATGATGAGGAATATACTTTAACATTTCCCAGTGCTTATGGCAGGTACACATACACATATTAAATTCTTACAATAGTTAATGTTGACAGAGTGATAGAATTGTAGGAACTTAAGGTTCACCACTTGAAATGAGGTCACATTGATGAATTAAATAAGTTGGCCTTGGTGGAAATAATCCGAGCCCTCACGTGACTTTTGGTGTCCGCATGTCACTTTTCAGTTTTGTTCCAACTGCATTCAAAGTTGATAGACTAGGGGCCCACTCAAAAGCTCTGGAAATAACTTTATTTCTTAAAAAAAGTATTTCATATTGTCTGACTTTAAACAAACAAATCCCCATTGATTATAAAATAACATCATTGTTTGCCTACAATGTAAAAGAAGCAGAAATATAGTGTCCAGTTTCAATTTCAAATACACATATATTTTTTTCAGAATTTAAACTAACCTGTTTGTTTATTTTGTAACCAATTGCATTACTGATGCGCATTTTGCACTTGCAGATCTATTTTGACTGTTCCGTGGGTGGAGCTAGGCGGTAAGATTAATATCAACTGTGTCAAGACGGGCTACTCTGCTCTAGTCGAGTTTCACACCAAGGTATTGGAGATTTCACATATTTTTATACTATACCAATTATATATTTACGATAAAATTTGTTTTTCTCAGCTATCTCTGAAATCATCTTCTAGTAAATTGTTATGAATAAAACACCTATCTTGAATCAATGTCTTCCGTGTTTCCAAAGTTAAAAATAAACCAGTGCAATGATTTGAATAAATTTCTGTTGTTTTCTCTCAAGCCTTTCTATGGCAGTAAAAAACACAAAGTAACAGCACAGATCTTTGAACCCAATGACAAGAAACCTTTTGTCAATATTGAGGGAGAATGGAATGGTGTCATGTATGCCAAATGGGCCTCAGGGGTAAGACTTTGATCTATCTTTTGTGCTGGCAGGTAGGGGGTAAGACTTTGATATGTCTGTTGTGCTGCCAGGTAGGGGGTAAGACTTTGATATATCTGTTGTGCCGTCAGGAAAGGGGTAAGACTTTGATATATCTGTTGTGCCGGCACAAAACAATTGTTGACAAGTTTTGACATGATTCAGTAAACTCTTGTTTGAAATAACAAGACCCCCGGAGCCTGTGAAAATACTTCTGTTGACAGAAACTGTAGCATTCTGTTGACTTAGGTTAGTGGTGTAAGACAATGGCATCTCTTAGGATGGTGACCGTAGACTATTCTTTGTTACCATATTTCCGGTATATTATAAAGACATCAGTTTGTCATTATTGATGTAAGAAATGACAACAGGGCTACCAAAAAGTTTGTTTGTTTCATTACTCCAACACTAAGACGTGTTTTATTATAGCACAGACAAAGTAAGCCTAACTTAGGTGATGTGTTTAAATTGGGTGTTTATTTCTTATAAACCTTAACCTTTGACCAACTCATTAAGCAAGCCATTTTTTAAAATGATTTATCCTCTTAGAAAAATGAAGTGTTTGTAGACACAAAGACTTTGCCCATCATTAAAAAGATTGTGAGGCCACGTGACCAGCAAGGGGACTTGGAATCAAGAAGGTAGGGGCAGATAAAAGAGCATGAGCATTCAAAACAGTTTAAACCAGCATTAGTTTAATCACCATTATGTATTGGTCAAGAACAGTGAGGAACTACACACCCTCTCATTTGAAAATACTGATTTGATGTCTCAAAAATTAATTCATGTAGTCCAGTTGTTCTCATAGTAGGCATTGAAATGTTCGGCCAATGCCTTCTTCGGTACAACGATAAAAACAAATAAACAAAAAAGTTAATATAATTGTATGTGAAAGATTTGAATCCTACCGTTACTATTAAACAAATGAAAGAAACCGGAACAAAAAAAAAAAAAGGAAACAAGTCCCTCACGCAAAACAAAGATGAGAAGAGCAGGAAAAAAAATGGCGGAAGTAAATGTTCGGCCAATGCCTTCTTCGGTACAACGATAAAAACAAATAAACAAAAAAGTTAATATAATTGTATGTGAAGGATTTGAATCCTACCGTTACTATTAAACAAATGAAAGAAACCGGAACAAAAAAAAAAAAAGGAAACAAGTCCCTCACGCAAAACAAAGATGAGAAGAGCAGGAAAAAAAATGGCGGAAGTACAATTTAAGAACCAACAAGAAAAGACATTGCAAAGCTTTTCTTAGAGGAGAAATGGAGTGTTAAGGAAAAGCTTTTCTTTGAGGAGAAATTGAGTGTTAAGGAAATTTTTTCTTTGAGGAGAACTAGTTGGTTAAGAAAACTATCCCATGTTCACCAGTCTGCTGAGGTAAAACAGTTTAAACCCACTGATCTATAACAATGTAAGCTAAACTAAAGATCGTCTATAACAAAGATATTCAGAGAATTTTATTTACTAGTTGTGTTATATCTTTATAGGAAATTCAACAAGGTGCATAAGAAAAACATGAATTTGTGAAAAAATTGAAACCATGTTTTATGGTTGTACGAAATTATCATTACCAGATTGTGGCGGGATGTGACCTTTTACCTAAAAGAGAAACGTGTTGATGAGGCGACGGAGGAGAAACATAAACTTGAGCAGAGACAGAGAGATGAGGCAAAAGACAGGAAAGATCAGGGCTTAAAATGGGAGACTCAGGTTGGTTTCAACAGCTGCAAGAAGCACTCAAAGTTGGGCCAAACTTTAGACAAAAAATACAACATCAATAATAATGCATGTGTATTTATTAAATCCTGGTTTTATTGGGCATTCAGGCCATGAGCATGGGGCTAAATGTTGACGAAAAAATAGACTTGTTTATCATTTTACTATATTCATTATTTTAGTATTTTCTATAGTTATTACCAGCATTCCTCTCTTTTATAATCCTTCTTTATATTCTTCTCCTCTGTTATGAACCATTTAAAATAGTCTAACCATTCTATGATCATTATAAGTCGGTTGTTTGTATGCCTCGGTTTAGACAAAGGCTCTAAATAATGCATATAAAAGCTCTGTCTCTTTAGGAATCTGAAATGACGTGTTGATACAGGCTTGCCGGTCTTTGATGTTATGTTTTATTTCTATTTTACAGCTTGAAATAATTATGATGATGCATCCCAACATTAGAAGACTAATATGGCTGACATTAACTTTCTTTCTATTTTAGTATTTCCATGAAGTGGGGGAGCATTGGGTCTACCAAAGTCCACTCGTGAAGAGGCTGAACAGCTCGACACCGCAAACACAGCGGAAACGTCCCTCATAACTGTTGGCGCTGACTTTGACCGGACTCTAGTGCTGTGGATCAACTTCATCAATAGATTGTGTTATTCTGATTGTTTCCTCGATACGATTGTGTATGGTTCCATAATATATACTAGATTTTGTTATAATGGTAGTTTCCTCTTCGCGTTTGTCTATGTTCCATAATATATACTAGATTGTGTTATAATGGTAGTTTCCTCTTCACGTTTGTCTAGGTTCCATAATATATAGTAGATTGTGTTATATTGGTAGTTTCCTCGTCATGTTTGTCCATCTTTCCATCATGTAATTTTTATGTTTTTATTTGTTAAATGATTCAAGCCCGAACCTACTATGGCTTTAGATCATTCTGTTGTTGCTCGTGGAACCTTCATATAAACTGTAAATAAGAAGTATTAAGTTATGAAAGTTGTGCCAAGACTGATGTAACTCTTGCAGCTTAGAACATTCATTATTGAATTTCTCGACCTGCCTCAATGACCAGTATACTATTGCTGAGTTCTGTTATCATGTGAAGAAGAGTGAGAAGAGTTGACTGTTTTAATGTGAGAGGTTGTATATATACATGTGTCTAAAATATGCAATGACTTGAAATCCTGGAGACAGGAATTTCATCTCAGGTTTTATGGTTCATTTAAACAAAGCAAAGTTTATACAATAAATACAGCCACGTTTCTTCACTAACACAAGTTTGAATAGTCTGCTACAGTGATATACATCCAGGCACCTGAATAGTTAAAAACTAGAGAGGAATCTCATATTCTATTCTTAGTTTTTAAAAATCATAAGCTACAGATGCTTGATTTCACTTACAGTACAGAAAATTAGCTCTCAGCGTTTCCAATTGTTACATACATTAGTCCACACTTGGATTTTATGTCTGTTCCTAATTATTTATTAGGAATTTCATATCTAGTCTTTTTGTTGTATGCCAATTCCTGTATATATCATGAGATTACAAGAGAAGCATCATGCTTAGCCCTCATGGTGAATATCTTACTCTTAGTCTCATCTCTTTCACTCAGTGGAACAGATACAGTTCAAGAGCAGAGCACTGTCATAGCTCACTGGCTCAATGTTTGGAAATATTCTTTGTTTTTTTTAATCGTTAAAAATAGCATTGGGGCCATTCAAATTTTAAAAAACAAAACATTCCCAATTTTACAAACCCCACTCCAGAATATCCCCCACTGCAGATATCCCCCCACCCCACTCCAGAATATCCCCTGTGTATTTTCAAATTGGTTTCAAACTCTCCTCTCTCTATCTCTCTCCCCCCTCTTTTTTTTTTCCCCCATAAGTTTTTTACAATTTTTATTTGGAAATATTTGGAATTCTTGAAGTCCTAAAAACTCACCTTCAATACATTTTTTTTTAAATCAACAAAACTGCCTTCATTTTTTATAGTATTTTTTGTACTTTAATTTCATCATTTTTATTAGTGTAAGATTAACCATTTGGCTTTGTAATTAAGTAATGAAAATAAAAAGGAGTATTGTAGAATATCCTCTCATTAGTAAATACAAGGGCTCCAGCATCTGTTTAATGTTTGGCCTCCTTTGGTTTGGAAGAACTGGTGTAGGTCTTTTTACCCACCCCTGTAAAGTGACATAGGTATTTTTCCTGATACAATTATGCAAGCATTTTCATCACCATTGAACTATTCCTTAACTTGTATTTTGTTTTCGTTGATCATTTTATTCATGTGCTGCTTAGGAGAGGAGTTTTTAAATGATAAATATTTGAATGGTTTGGCTTGAGGCTGGGAATACATCTATAGATTGGGTAAGCCTCCATGTCCATGTTTGTCAAACCAACAAAGAGTATAATAATAATAATATCATTTGTTTAGATTCTAAATATAAAGTGAATGACTCATTGTTTGAATAAGCTTTTATTATACTATATTTAGAACCATTAATGATAATATAAGGGAGAATATAAATACATAATGGAACAAGATACTTTAGGCTAGAAAAAAAAAAATGTGACAGAGCATTGAAAAGGACGTTTTGGCTGCATGCCTTCTATACCAGACGATACAAAACAGGAAAAAAATTGTTTTTGAAATTGAAAAACTGAAGTGTTCCCTAAGCAGATGAAAATATATCAAGGTAATGAACAAGTATGTTTATGTAGTTTATTGTTTACTAGTGTATTATGTTTTGATACAATCTTGAACAAGAAATCTAATTGGATATCTTCATGGCCTGCTTAGTAATTTGCTTTTTTTACCAGCCTGTCAGACTTAATATATTAAGAGATTTTCATTGTTAAGAATAATTTTTTTAAAACTTTTAACTTTTTGTGCATTTTAATTGCTTATACCCTTTAAAACTTCCTTTATTTGGAACTAACACCCTTCCGGCCATTTGTCTTCCAAAGTTGTTACCTCCCTTAGTGGCGTGTATATCTCTTCCCCTTGTTATTCTTTACAATTAAATTACTCTTCTATGTGACTTCATTCATTATATGGGAAATACGGAGATACTTTATGTTTTTCTGTGCCTTGGATTCCTTTGGCTATTTAGTAAAACCATATCCATTGATCAGTATCAGTAAGTATTAAAGTTTATGTTTGAGGTAAATGAAGATAAAGATTTTTTTTAAATGATCAATTCACAGATGTGGGAACCCCTGCTGTCATATGTTAGTGATATCATAAGCTAAAACTTTTATCATATACAAATTATTTTAGTTATTTTCTAAAAAGTCCTGTAGCGTTCAGACATTGGAACAATAAAATCAAGGCAATAAATAGGGTGTCCAAAGTTGAAAATTCTTTGAGGACAGTTGGTAACAACCTTATAAAAACACACAACCAGACATTCATTACTCTCTGAAATGTACGTAACGACTTAAGAACAATTTTGAAAGTGTCTAAAGAGTGTAATTTCTTCACTTTTAACAGCTGATATAATATAATTTAAAAAATTATGACATCAAATGGGATTCTTAGTTTTCTCTATACCATGTTATTTGACCTGGTTCTCCTGCCTATTTATATTTTGCCATTTCTGAGTGGGAATTGAAAACCATTAAGTTTGAAGTAGCTAATCTGTACCTCATTTTAGCCCAAATTAGTTCATTAGATTGGTAATTTTTAAAACATTTTTTAATAAACTTTTACATATTAAGAAAAGTGGAAAAAGAGTTGTGTTTAATATAGAACCAAATTATTATATGTGATAAGATTTGTTCAAAAATTATTTTTTCAGGTACAGATTATAACACTTTTTTTTTAAAACCATGGTAAAATAACTTGGTGTAATAATGGTGTTGTTTTTTTTTTGGTGTCTATTTTGTTGATGTGATAATATGTATATAGTGATGTAGCTGACCTTACATCTCCTCCTGTTAAACCAAAGCTGTTCTTACTCTGCTTGATCATCTCTTACTCCTCACAATGGTCTTGAATGTAATCCATAACCCCATGTTAATATCAATGCCATTGCTGAGTGCTTTATCCAGATTAATCAAGAGGAATCTTTGCAATAATCATCACCCATCATTTGCTGTGAATTATTATGCTGGTTTTATGCTATAGCTGACTGGGGCAATCTCTAATTGTCCATACCGACAAATGCCACTGTTGTGTTTGCTAATGGTTGTATATGAGAAGTGTAAAAGTGAACTAACAGGAGTGAAATTTCTGAAATTGTTTTTCATATATATTTATATATATATATATATATATAATATATATATATTTATATATGTATATATATATATATATATAAATATAAATATATATATATTATAAAGATGTAAAGAGTATTCCATGAGGAATGAATTATCAATAAGATATTCAAATATTTCAATTTATGCTGTTATAACCAATGAAATGGTCATTTAAGTTCTCTAGTAGATTGACCCCCCTTTCAACACATGTGTGAGGAACCTAACCAAAAATAATAGTAGCTAATTTCAATAAGAACATATGATACACTCAAATGTGCAGTTACATTGCTGTTTATTTTGTCAGCTGTGATGAAATTGCAAAATATTCAATTTGCTCAAAGGGTCACATACGGCTTATGTCCCTCTCTTGAAAGAACATTGCACCCTCCTGTCTCCATAATGTATGATACTGATAGTATTGGACCTGTTCATGTTTTGTTATATGTTTTAAAGGGTCATTTTCATATTTACAATAGTATTAAGTTGAAGTAATATGATTTTAGAGACAAACTGTATTTATTAATATATTGATCCAGTGTTGATTACGTGGTGAAAACAATGCCAGTGGCAAGTCAAGTTGACCTCTTATACAACTTTATATTTTATTTCAATCAGCAGTTGGTCACACACTCACCCCCCCCCCCCCCCAACCTTTTTTCTTTTTCTCCCGTGTCCCTGAATGTATCATCATACATTTTGTAAGGGGTTTTTTTTCCACCGATATACTCATTATACTCATTTATTTGTTGTTAAAACAATCTACAAGTAAATATTACTTACAGAATCTAGATCCAAGGCTAAATAAGTCTCAAGAGCATAAATTACTGAAGACAATGACCTTGACCAGCACCAGTTTTTGACAGTTATTCATCATTATAAATCATTGTGAGATTTTGCATACATGGTGATAAAATTTATGTTGAAGCAGTTTCAAATATTATTGTATGAATGTAACAGAGAAATATTGATCCACTTAAGGACTATTTTAATAACACCATGGCCATGAACATACCCCGCCCCATGTTGTCTACCTTGACTCACCCCAAATTGACAAAAAAACAACAACCCAGAATTTTTTTAATAAAACATCTTTGTTCCAGATATTACCAACTTGATTTTAGGCTTGTGCTCCCAAATCTTTTTGTGTTTTTTTTTTCCTCCAATGAACTGACAATTTAAACTCATCCTAATCAATCACATTTTATGGAGTCGCCCTATAAATAATATTTTTGTTATAAAGAAGAGTAAAACATACTATTTGATGTGTTACATTCTACATTTGCAGATTTTCATTTTAATTTCAGTTGCCAAGTTTCTGAAAGTGATATATTCACATAACAAATCATTGCTGACATCCTGATAGCAACCATTTAAACAGCCCAGAGTTAGTATTCAGATGTGTCTATTTTTCCCTTCTAACCATCCACATTCCTCTAACCAGATATTGATCAAATTGCATAGGGATCAAAGAATGGCTGACATTGAGAACCGTTTGGTCTATTTTAACACAGCCTCAGCATTTTGGTCCTGGTAATGTCAAATTTCTTGCATTTCATTAATAAATATTAATTAGATGACATTGATTTGTGTTTTTGTCATGTTCTTTGTGTCTTACAGTGCAGTTGCTGAGATTAAAAATGATAAGAAATTGGATTGCAGTTCATACGGCTTTAAAACCTCTGATGTTGCTCTTTATGGGATCTCATGTTTAAGCAAATTAAACTCGCATGCCAGTTGTTTGGAATTACGGAATAAGGATTTTATTAAATATTTTTGTAGTAATCAAAATTTGACACATTTAATATTTTTAAAACAGAATGAGATAGTAAATAAAAGTTGTTTTATTGTATTAATTTGCAAAATAAGTTATCTTAGTTAAACAGTGATACATGTGATAACTCTTAAACTCCCATTTGACAATTCCATGTTAATCTATCCATATTAAAAGTGTCAATTCTACAAGCATTTGATACAACAAAACAGTGAATACTCTTTCAAATTTCCTTTCCTTAAAAAGAAATTATAAACTGTCCTATAGAACTTACTGAAACAAAATTGCAAAACATAAAATTTGAGAGAAAAGGATAAAGTTATACCACACACAAATCACGAGATAGTGAAACAATGGTGGCAGTAATTGCAATACTTGCTTTGGAATTTAAATTATAACCCTTAATTGTTCATTTTTATTTTTTAATAAAGCCATCTAAACAAAGGATTTCCTGATGAACAATTCAACTCGGTTACATATTATTGTTTATCACCAATCATTACCATTCTTAATTGAAACTATGAAAGAAAAGTGAAATGAAAACTAATAAAAAATAAGTTTACTTTTTGTATTCCCAATAGAGATTTCCCTTCATGTTCAAGTTTATTATTTTTAACTGCAATTATGTCTCTAAACTTGAAGAAAATATAAAAACACAGAAGAAATTTTTTCTTAACTAATATTTGTTTGTAAGAGGAAAATGGATCTAGGGAAAGAAATGTCATACAAATAGCTTTGAGAAAGTAGGTCAGGAGCTAATAAGAAATGGGTGGACTTATGTATGAGTCACTTGCACTTCACTAGCCATTTGGAGGTTCAACTTTTG